TATTCTTAACGAGATTTAAATGCATAAAAACACGTTTATAACGCGTAATTCTGTCTAAATAGTGCAAGAAAAATAAAATTTTATGATGACGATGGCAAATTGCAGCAATTCGTTGCTCCGTGTGATCGCGGGCGGCCCGTGTTGCTGATGTTGCGACGTAAAGTTTCTGGGCGAAATTGCCCCATCTGAAGCTGGCCTGAGTGGCGTGAGGGCCATCAGTGCGTGAGGGGCGTGAGGGGTGTGAGGGCCGCAAGGGCGGTGAGGCGCGTGAGGGCGGTGAGTGGCGTGAGGGCGGTGAGTGGCGTGAGGGCCGTGAGGGCGGTGAGGGCCGTGAGGGCGGTGAGTGGCGTGAGGGCTATGAGTGCGTGAGGGCCGTGAGGGCGGTGATGGCCATGAGGGCCGTGAGGGCCGTGAGGGCGGTGAGGGCCGTGAGGGCGGTGAGGGCCGTGAGGGCGGTGAGGGCCGTGAGGGCGGTGAGTGGCGTGAGGGCCATGAGTGAGTGAGGGGCGTGAGGGCCGCGAGGGCGGTGAGGGCCGTGAGTGCGTGAGGGCCGTGAGGTTCAGTGAGGGTGAGTGAAGGGCTGAAGGTGAGTGTGACTGTGAGGGTGAGGGTGAGTGAGGGGCTGAAGGTGAGTGTAGCTGTGAGGGTGAGGGTGAGTGAGGGGCTTAGGTAGGTGTGGCTGTGAGGGTGAGGGTGAGTGAGGGCGACCTAAAATGCCGACCTCTGTATCCAGTAATAGCTACTTGTGGCCATTTTCATCCATAAACACTGAAATAGCCCATAATTGTCAAGTATACTTACTAATAGCCATTACTAGCTATTTGAAGCCAATCTGGTCAGAAATATATGGTAATAGCCAACAATAGCCACTTAAAGCCATTTCAGTTGGTAAACACAAAAATCGCTCCTAATAGGAAGCGAGCAAGCCGGCCGTGTCGCGGCGTTCGCCTATTGTTCGCCGCGACCTAGCGGTAGCCGCCGCAGGAGCGTCGGGGAGCAATGGCGACGAACAGCACGGCAGGCAGGGTCCCCGTCGTGATTACGGAGGAATTTAAGGCAGTTACGAATTCGGAAAGTTCCTTCGGTAGCCGGTGCCGTCGGCGCAGAATCATCGGGAAGTAATAGCACCGAACGCCACAGAGGACAGTGGGCGATTACGAATCCGGAAAGCTTCTTCGGTAGCCGGTGCAGAATCACCGGGGGGAAGCAATGGTGATGAGCAGCACAGCGGACCGTGTTCCCGGGGTGATTACGACGGGGTTTAAGGCGGTTACGAATCCAGAAAGCTTCTTCCGTGGTACCAATATGAAGAAGGGAAAACTCGTTCGTGAATGGCCGCGTGTACGACGTGAAGGAGGTCCGTTTCGACGGACAAGTGGATGTCACGGCGCGCCGTACTCCGCTAACAAAATTAAGCGCGCCCGCAAAAAAAATGCAGTAGGCGTTGAGTGGACTGTGGTAATTCTGCACGTTTATTTCTGAATCAGCTTGACAATAACTGGGCGATTTTTTTAGCGTCGTTTCGCGATTCCCACTACTATCTTCCTGTAGGCTGATGGAAACATCCAGGGTAGGCTTAGAGTGGCGACCGCATTCCGCTTCTCAATTCCGGTGAAGTATTTGCCGCATACTTTAGAGTTTGCCGTTGGTGTCGATGCTGTCGCATCGTCGCTAGAATAGAAAAAAAGTTAATTGTATTATTCGTGAGCAGCTTAAACAAAGCGCGAACTGGAAGGGAAGAAACGCCATTAACCTGTATGGACGCACAAGTCGCACCCAGGCCGCGCATTACTCCGCCTCGTACGGCTCCGAAGGGACGATGTAGTACTTCGTGCCGTGCGCGATCTTCGACGTACTGTTGCAGCCGACCACGCAGCAATATTTACGGCTTTCTTGGTGCGGAATAGCCATCTCAGAAATTACAGCGCTAACCCACTACAACGCACAACCAACGCAGCGGCTGGCAGAAGCTCCCCGATGTAACGGACCCGTTTGCCGCTAGGGGCGCCCTGGTCGGGGCTTGAATTAGATGCGCACGGTTCCTATAGCCGCGTCCCACTAGAGCGACAGACAGCAACAAACGACAGCGACACACGACAGCGAGCGACAGACGACACTGACAGACAGCCTGTTTGTCGGAATCCGCCGTCCCACCTGGCGGACACGACGCAGAACACGGGCGCAAGGAAACTTGTTTCCTAGTGGGACTGGAGTTGTCAACAAAACACTTCAAAATACACAAACAAACAGAGTCTGGCGACGCGGTTTTCGTGTTTTGCTCTTTGAGCATAAAACGCGCCGACAAATACGGTGAAAGTGGAGACGATTACTTTATTTCTTGATTAAAGCTTCCGCTTCTCTTAACTTTCCGTTGGCGACTTTCCGTAAACAATCGTGACAATCGACACCAAACTTTTTCCAAACTAGAAATACCCGAATCGCTCCTTTTTTGGGCCGTTCGACGCATTCTAGGTGAGCGCCACGGAGTTTCACGCTGATTTTGAGGATGCTTATAACTTCATATTCGAATGATCGAGGGCAGGCGCTCTTTGGTGGACAGCACAGCATCCCGATTGTCACAGAACCTGATGACAAGTCTCTCGTCTGCCGGAATGGCTTGCCGCGGAACGTTGTGTCCTACTTCATGGTGAGCGGTCTTACTTTGGTCAGTCCTCGCACATGGGTGTATCCATCCTGATGCAGGGGCGCAGACTTCGGCGTCTTGAAGCACCACCTCACGCAACAAGTTTTCGCGAGCAAAACCAGCCACAGCAAATTCCCTTTCGCAACACGACCGCCCGGCGCCAGCCAGCAAGCCGCGCCCGCAACCACTATTTGCAATCGAGGGACCGGAACTGCGGGGCCGGAAACGAGGAGTGGCCGCCAAGAGCCTCTCGTTCCGGGAGGAAGGGTAGAAGGGTGGGAAGGGAGCCAACATAAAGCATAAACGGGCGAGGAGGATACGTTTGTCTCCGAGAGATGTTCCCCTGTGGGACTGCTTGCTGCGCTTCAAGTCCAAGGATAGACAAGAACTCGTCCGTCGTCGATCGCTTGTCGGCGCTTGTCGGCGATTGTCGCCGGTGTCGGTCGTTGCAGTGGGACAGCATCGGCGACACGGAACTTTGTGGTGTCGTCGGACAAAAACCGGTGTTTGTCGCTCTAGAGGGACGAGGCTATAACTGTCAACACTAGTCACTAATTACCATTTATAGCCAAATATTGCCATTGCAATAAAAAATAAATGCTTATAGCCAGTTATAGCCACTTGTGGCCATTTTCATCCATAAACACTGAAATAGCATATAATTTGCAATTATACTCACTAATAGCCATTGCTAGCCGTTTGAAGTCAATCTAGTCAGAAATAGATGCTAATAGCCAACAACAGCTACTTAAAGTCATTCCAGTTTGTAAACACTAAAACACTCATAAATATGAACACTAGTCACTAATAACCATTTGTAGCCATTTCAATCAAATTTATCTAAAATTTTATGCATAAGCAAATAATAGCCGCTTGAAGTCATTTTAAGTACCGAAATAGCACATAATTGTTTAATGATGTCATCAATATGCATCAGCAGCCATTTCAATTCAATCTGGTCAAAAATAAATACAAATAGCCAACATTATCCACTTGAAGCCATTCCATTTCGTAAATATAAAAATAGCTCGAGCAATAGTTATCTACTAATAGCGGTTTGTAGCCATTTGCAGCCAATCTATTCGAAAATATGTGCTTACAGCCACTAATAGCCACTTGAAGCCATTCTCATTCATAAACACTCAGACAGCAGATAATTGCTATTATACCGAATAAGAGCCAATAGTAGCCATTGAGCCAATCTGGTCAGAAATATATTCTAATCGACAACAATAGCCACCTGAAGTCATTCCAGTTTATAGAAAGAAATAGCTCAGTTTTCATTACTCTTAATATTTGTAGCCATATCTATCAAATGTATATAAAAGTGGAGGCTGCTAGCCAATAATAGCCACTTGAAACCATATGCATTCACCAACGCCAAAATCGATAATTGTCAATTATCTCATCAATAGCCATCGGCAGCCATTTAAGGTCAATCTGGTCAAAGAAGATGCTAACAGCCAACAAAAGCTCCTTGAAGCCATTCATAAGAGTAAGCAAATAAAAAAATCACATAATTATCAATAATAATCACTTCTAGTCACTTGGAGTCATTCAAGTTGGTCTCATAAAAAAATTGATGCCTATTGCCAATTATGGTCATTAGAACCAATGGCATCTAATAAGACATGTTTCTGTAGGAATAAAACAAATAAATCGACAAGCTCAGAAAAGGTTAATAATTATTTTGATTGTACAAAATCGCTATAAAACTCCTGACTGGTCTATACAACACACTGCATTTTGACATCAAAATACCAAGAGGTCCAATATCACGAGCTTATGCTCCCTATGCTCCGTCAAAAAAAAAAAAAATTGAAATATTTCATAGACTATCAATTTCTCTAGTGAATCAGACCCACTTGATTCATTTCCGGGGAAAGTGGCGAGTTGTCCACTCCATACCGCCAGGATCGCTTTCTACTTCCGTCTCCCGTTTTACCCCGTAGTTTCCTGTATTATTCTCAACGGTATTTGGTATCAGCCCCGCGATTCGCCGAGCGCACCACGTCGATTGCGGCGATTGACTCTCCCAGGTGTTTTGCGGCAGAAGGCTCGAAAATTCTTAGAGTGAACTGTAGACAGCTTAAGAAACGAAGGGTGTGTCTTATTATGTTCGTGCCTTTGACATTTCTTATTCATCCTTATCATCGTCCTTATTTCTTAACACCTGTCAAAATAAAATATCCCAATCAATCCATCAATCTTATCGGCTCGCAATCTTATTGACTCCGATAATTATGTACTCGCAATTGGCCACACTCCGTGTTTCTTAAGTTGTCAGCAACCATCGGCCAACCTTCCTTCTTATTCCAACGACGCGTCTGTTATCTCCGACGAAGCGAGCCGTCACCTTGCACCCGACAATATCCTCGATGAGGATGATGAGGACGCGCTGGTAGAAGTTGAAGACCAGGTCGTCTCCAGCCTGGTACAGGTGGGGGGGCAGGGCAGCCACGCCCGTGACAACCCTCCAGGCGGCCCACAGCAGAAACATGGGCGCCGCTATGGACAGCACCACGGCGCTGTGGAACGCCACCTTCAGCAGGTCCGTACTGCGAGCGGTGGCGAGCATCGAGAGAGCCTCGAGCCGAGTCTTTATTTGGAACTACACTACTCTATAATGGCGCGCCACTCTGAGCTAAAACAGATCAAACAGACATGCTACAAGATGTTCAGCTCCATCCGCGACGCCGAGGGGATAGCTGAGGACAGCCTGTGTAGAGCCCGCTCTAGCGGACGACGGAGACGACCGATGAAACGCAGGCGAGCGGCCGAGGGCAGACGTGCAACTGCGGCACCAAATGCTAGGGGAATCCAACTTCGCGAAAATAGAATAACCTCGACGCGGACTGGTTTTGCGTATAGTTCGAACAGCTGGGTGCGCCATAACCTCGATGCCTCCTCCCTTCAATTGGAAGGCGTGGTTGGTACCATTCATTGTCGAGAACGTTGTGAGCGCCAGTCGAGACCGCCGTCTCTGCTGTCTCGGTCCGCCGGAGGTAACCCTCTCCCTCCGAAGCGCGTGTGCAGCAGGGAAAGTGCAATTCGCCTAAGATCTCGGACGTTACACGTCCACACCACTAGGACAGACTAGGCGCTGCGTAGAGTAAATAGGTACTCAAGAAGCCTGCTGTTTAATGCAAATGAGCTGAGTAGTAAGTATTCTTATAGTTGGTGGCATGCTATGAATTGAGCAGGAGCTGCACATCCTGCTCGTGCTCGTTTCTTCCGCCAGGCTTTGGCTGCGCGTACGTCGGAGCTTTATCAAAGAGAGAAAGCCTGCGCTGGAGGCGAAACATGTGCTGAATTCTTAACATGTCATGGGCTATAGTAGTGTTGGGCGCTCGCTCTGTTCATTGACACATGGTAGATGCTGCGGTGGCGAGAGGGAGCATACAGGCATAGCCTCCTATATACTGATAGAGCCTGGCAGATCGCCCCGAGAAGCAGCCGCCGAAATGAAAAAGGTGGAGCGGCAGACAACGGATAAGAGAAGAGCCACGTGACTGGCGCCCCGCTGCGCGGCGAGACGCCGGAACACACTTATCCCGAACGAACAAGTGTGTTTCGGGTCCTCGCCGCCGCGAAAACTGTGCGCTGACGTCCAGGTTCTCCGAGAAATGGCTTTTTGATGCTCTGTGCCACCATATCCTAGCGCTCAAAATCTGCGACTGGGCACTCCATGGCTCCGTCATCGAACTGCCAGGCTTTGTGAGTATAGAGGAGGCCATGATACAAAGCGTTTTCATAATTTGCCACGCGCCTTGCGCTCGCCCTTTTGGGAGTGTTGCAAAAGTTATGTTCAGCACGCTCTTTTAATGATTAGAGCTCAAGCACTACATCCGTGGGAAGTTGTCCTGACTCTGAAGTTCAGCCTATAGGCCTATGCCACACTCTGGGAAGCATAGTTCTATACTTTCCTGGAATTGTGTCAAAGGCTAAGACTTACACAAATTACGCCCGAAATATCCTAAACACTTGGACGAGTCTTATGCCACATCAATAACCCCGACAGAACTAGTGCTGCAAGAGGTGCCAAAGGTCAAATGTACTAAGATTAGTCATAATACTACAGAAAATGAGCTCGACAGTGTTTCCCAAGATGGGTGCAGTGATATCGCTCGGACGTTTCCCGCTGACACTAGGATAAATTTTGTGCACCGGCATCACGCGTGCAAGCTCCTGCAAGACAACCAACTTATGAAGCTTCGGGGCTTTACAGATCACTTTTTCAAAGAAGAAATTAACTTTTGAACGAGACATTTTTAATGATTTTAACGCCTTAATGCTGTCAAATAATTGACTGCCATAAGCTGATTTCATCCGCTGAGTTTGATTACAAACACAACTGTAAGTTCTTTGGCAGCACCACTAAGACGTACTCGTCTGTAGTCTCTGATAAACTGTGTCAACAATGTTTAGTTAAATAACGTCTGTCCGGCAATTGTACATGGCTAAAGTGTTTCCTTTCCACAGACAAGTTGAACATTCGAATAGCTTCTGTACAATTTCCTACCCTACATACTTTTAGCTCATTTCGATTCAAATGTGTTTAATTATTTTCTTTACAATTATGTATTTTTATAAATTTGATGACGAGGAGACAGGAAAAAGCTGCGAAAGACCTCGACGAATTCCTCATTTACAATAACCAATTAAATGTTGTTGTTTTTTTTCTGAGAATATTAAAGCGATAGCTGTCATGGGCTCTTTCCGCCACTGGAAGTGACATCTGTTGTCGCCGTCGTCAGTATCGCCAAATGCCCGCCGCCGCAGTATTGTCAGGATTCGATCCCGGGTAATCTGTGTGCGAACCGGGTACGTTACCACAGGGCTACGCCACAGCTTCAACCACGTGGTTTATGCAACGCATTTGTAGAGCACACATGTGTTAGTGGGTCTCGTGTAGCGCCCGCTAGATGGCCACAAATGATGTGACGTCCCGATAGAAAACTCTTTGTCATACTTAATACATTTCAAATGTAATAGAAAACAATATATATTAAATTAATAGCTTCGGCTATGTGGCGCAAGCTGCCGCCCGATTAAAAGGGTTCAGCCTTATCCATCCATCTATACCACCTACAAGACAAGACCTGGGCATCAGGTCGTCATTAGTGGATCCCTGAGCCGCCCCAAGTGGCAAACACCCCGATGCTTGACGAAGGTACGGCGGAATACGACTAAAGTGGCCGTTGTAGCGTCGTCCCCTAATCTATCGACTTTTCCAAAATGGGGCTCCTGGACGGTTTCGTATTCGGTTTTCGTGCGTTTAGAGCGGGATTTGCTGGCCTTCCGAAGCGACGAACATGCGAGAGTTGGGCTGAGGTCTTGCAAATATTCGAATGGTTTGCAGCGTCGCGCTTGCTGCAAGGTGCTGAAAGACGCACTGGCCGTGACGTTCGTCGCAGGAAGAACACTCAAGGGAATGCTCGTGAGAACGAGGCCGAGGAGCTTCGCCGTCAAGACCGTACACGCTGTGTGATCGTAACACCAACGCCAAAAGACTTCGCGGTCACGTGTCGCAGCAATCGCTGTGACTGTACTATGAATGAACTTAGGACTGCTCATTCCTCTTCTAGGAAATATAACTCTAGTCTTGCAGTAATACTCTTCATGTTCTTGTGGACCATGGATCGCGGGCAGACTGCGTATTCGTTTATTTCTCGAGGGCGTTGAAGAACGTGAGTTATCAGCTATTGCAGCTGTTCAAACTGAGTAAAATTAATATATACTCCAATTTTTTTAGCATGAATTGAATGTTGCTTGCTTCACCGTTCACAATGGGGAACGTTGAATGGCTCTAATTTCTAAAACAGCGCTAACTCCGGACTTCCTCAAGGTTCAGTTTTAGAGCCATTAACTAATACGTCTTATTACCGAGGGCTGCTTTTTTTTTTTTTTTTTTTTTTAAAGCTTCGATTTTTTGGGTAAAATAACAAGAACGATGGCAAATGCATTAAAGGGGCAGTCAAGTGGTTTTTGAGTTCGTGTTTTGATAATGACAGCTGAATTTAGACGCCTTAAGTATCCCTAAAAACCAAAAAGTATAGTCATACGGTGATTATTTCTTTAATAAAAATGTAATTGAAGGCCGCCAAACCTCGGATCCATCCGAAAACGAAACCACTCTCATTGGTCGTCGCACGCTTATCAAAAGGATCTCGGGCCAATGGCGTTGGACGACGTTCCGTCGCGCAGTGATCCTGAGGTAGCCGCATCGGCCGAACCTCTTTGTCATTCGAGCTTCGATCATGGCGGAGTTCTCTACGCTCGAGGACCTGACGCCGTTAGAGGTTGAAGTTCTTCGGCGGACAGCCGACCTGGGGACGATTTCCTATGACGCCACTCCGACGTGCGATGTGGGCGATAGCAGCGTTTCGGAGTCATGTTCGGGTTCCGAGGACGACGAAACGCAGACCTTTTCGGGCGTTCTTCGATTTGCGGTTGGGGCAAGTCGTAACCAAACCAACGTTTGACATCGCAGCGTTACCTCTGGTACGTGATGTCAAACGATGTCGCCACGTTGACTTTCACCTCGGGAGAACGGGGGGAAGGCTGGTTCAGACATGTGCAACGAGCGCGTACCTACGACTGCGTCCGTTGCAACCGGAACGACCGCACTGCGCCGCGTCTACACATACCTGTAACCACTACAACAAGCGCAGCGGGTCGTCAGCACGGCGACCGCTTCTGTACGCCGCCGTCAGCCCTGTCAGCGGCCCCTCTAAAAAGGGGACGCACCGCTACTCAATGCCGTAACAGTTTTCTATAGCCTAAAGCTTTATTATTATTTTTTCTTGATAGGCTTGCAGGGTACAGTGGATGAAAAAAAGAAAATAAAACAATGCAGTCCGCCGTCTTGGACGACCACGACTGTAATACACGACATTGCAATAGTACAAATATCGTCACATACCTTTTCTACGATTATAAAAGACAATGTAATCTTAGCAGCGATATAGCAACGTAGAAATATGATTTCGTAATCAGATAGACGTTGCGAGCGTTCAGGATTGCTAACACTAATCACTTTTCTCCGGTGATGAAAACGCGTGAAAATTCGCATCCTTTATACGGTACGCGCTAGTAACACCTTGAACTTGAGCACAGGCATGAAATGCGCCAAATCAGAAATCCGGGCGATGTTCGAGGACACAAATGCTTAGAAAGCACCACTGTAGTCGAAGTAAACAAACACGACGGCACGGGCGTTTCTGCTATCTTGAGAGTGCCGCCACGACATCGCCGCACGAGTAGGTGGATGTTCGCTTCTAGTACGTGCTGGGTTATCATAGCGAAATACGACGAAAATTCACAGTCAAGGATAGCGCTTTTACGCGGAACGATGAGCTTTCACCAGGCCGTCCATTCCGACGATCACCACCGACGCCACGTTTGCGGATAGAAGGAGCCGGCCGGCCTGCAACGCGCGGAGATACGTGCGCTTCCGCGCATCCCTGGGGAACGGGAAATTCACCCCCCGCGGAGGAAGGCAAATAGAAAACGTAGTCCCTTGTTTGTGAAACGATAATTGCGCTATCGCGTATTC